TCGAATACGCGTCGAGTGTGCACGCCATTGCACCACGAAGGCATGCTAACAAGGCGGAAGAAATACCATATGTTTAGAATTTTTTAGTGTTAATTTTAGATAAAATATTCACTGTATTTTGGCAAAAAAACTATCTATTCTTCCCATTATAAAGTTTCCACTATAAATGTTCTTTAAATGAAGTAAATTTGAAACTTCTGTTCCAGTTTGAAAGTTATTTTTGTCAGGACTTGTAAAGACTGCTATTGGATATATGCTTTATTTCTATATCCTTTAAAAGTTCTGTAGGCATTTCTGGAACCAAAATTCATTTTAATAAGCAAAACAACTTACTTTTCATTTTTAAATAAAGTCTTCTGAAATCATAAATGTAATGAAATTAAAAATATTAATATTTTGAGCAAGAATAGCTTCTGAAGTTATTCGTGATTTTGGGACTATTTCCCAAATTAAATCACATCATCTCTTTCGCTCTTCTAAATTTGCTGAATCTAAATATTTTAAATTCTTTATCACTCAATGGTAGAAAATTTCTTGCAGTGTGGATGTGACCCCCTAGTGAACCCTTCTTGATTACTTGCATAAAAGAATTTCAAAAAAGCACAATAATTGCGGAAAGTTGTTTAAATGCATGCAGACGGTAATAAGCTCATTTCTTTGCTTTGCGAGTTTACCTTATTTTTAGTTATTATATAAACCTTGTTCTAGTTGCTACAAAATAAAACATCGGCTTATACGAGAGAAACAGGGAACGGAAGAATTTAGTTTTCGCTCAAAACCAGCCTTTGGAATGCAGATTTAGAGTGTAAAAGAGAATCGGAAAGAAAAAACTACCGGGAGAGGGGGGAGAAACACCAATTGGATTCAATGTTGTGCTGCTGTGCCAACTCCATACAACAGTTGTTACACTCTTTCCTTCCAAGCGTTTTTGGCAACAGTATAAGGAATACGTTGATGGAAATACTGATGATTATAAACAAAATATAAACCATGGTCTAATTCATAAATTTTAAACTAAAAAAAAAAAAAAATATATATATGTATGATCAGTAATTACGAAAAGTAAAAAAGCTGCGTGTACGATATAAACATGTTCTCTTCTGAATTATAAACAAACAATTATTTTTTTAGGTACACTCATTAATGCTCTTGCATCGGATGAAACATCAGATTTCTTGAACCAAAGCAAAACTGGGTTAAATATTACGTATAGCACCTAGTAAGCTATTGTTTGTAACAATGGTAGGTGTTCCTTGACTTACAGCCAAGTTAAGTTTTGATAAACTCATCGTAAATTGAAAATTCCGTGCTTTGCATCAAATACATCCAGCTAACCAAATAAACATCACAGATTAATATACTTTAAACGTACTTAGACTACAGTTAATCGAGAGCATTTAATATCAAACTTATTTTACATTATAGATTTATATGCTCATGTTCTTACACTGACTGAAACCGCAGTAAACATAAATAGCGAGTTAAGTAGTGAATTTAATTTAATCATTAGGATGATTAGAATAACCTCGTCTTTTTTTCCTTCTTTTTTTTTTTCCACTGCGCTTTGAAATTGCGCAATCATCAACGTATGCATATATTTTCATGTTACGTAAAATTTTTTTCCCAGATTAATTTTTGTATCTCGCAGCTGTACGAAAAAAATTGCCAGAGGAAAAACTGGCGGAAAGTGCTATAATAAATATAAAACATCTAATATGTACACCACATTGACTTCCTTGTACAGAATATTAAATTATACGCATTTTTTCTTGCATTTTATTTAAACTTATTGAATTGAATTAAATCTATTTCGTCGATAGCGAATAAACCACAATAGAATAAATGCACTTTTTAAAATTCACTATATTTGTACATAGCGACACTCTGGCGCTAGGTTCACTTAACAGCGTTATATTTCGTTCATATTCTAACAGATCACAGATCATCATTCGTGTAAAAGGCATGCGGCCTGTTGAGGCCTTTACCAGTATATATTTCTTAAGTTCCTAATGGCATAAAGATCAGAAAAAAAAAAAAAAAAATCCGAACAAGCGGATCTCATAAGAGGGTGCTGGGTGCGGATCTCATAAGAGAAAGAAGTACGACGCCATCTGTTGACTTCAATAATCTTCAGTAATGGCGTATCTTTGTACATTATAATTCAGAATGCATAAAATTGATATCATTTGAAGAATTATTTAATCGTTGCCACATGTTCTATTCAAATACTATAATAAATCTAGAACGATGTATAAAAGAAATTAAGCAAACAAAACAAAAAAGAAACAGTTTTTCGCAGACGATTCAGTATTTATCATTCACTTAATTCAGTTCTCACTTCGCGACAAGGCAAAAATACATAAAAACTCAAAATATCTATATTAAAAATTACGAAGTAAATCCTAAACACTTATTTCCTCGAAAAAATTCCAGAAAGGATTAAGCATGATTTAATTCGCAATAATAAATGAAGGCGTTATCTTTGTAGTCGCGAAGCTTAGTCTCTCTAGATTGTTAACAAATCTACTATTCTGCTGTTTCAAATGTAAACAAATATGTCCGCCATGTTATTTAAAAATTAGGCTTAACCGCACTTAAACAGCTTTTAAATTGTTGATAATTCTACAAATATTGCTTGCAGAATTCCTAGAGGCATAAAAACCTTAACCGGATGATAAAGAACAACATAATTCAATCATTTTTAAAGCAAAAAATACACAATTTACAAACACATAAGAGTAAAGAAAGTGAGCTCACTGAGCCGGGTAGCAGAGTGGATATATACATAAAAATATATTTCTATACATTTGGTGCGGCCGATTGCAACCAAAATACCAGTTCACATCTACATGTTATAGCAGTCCTATTTACAAAATTTCAACGTTCTGAGGCTACTCGTTTTTGAGTTATGCGATATACATACGTACGTACGTACCTACGTACAGACACCACAAAAAATTCTCTTCAGAATTCATTTTAAAGCAGTTTTATAATTTTTTTGGAGGAAAAGAGTTAAAACGTTAAGAAAATGCCCCTTTGGACATAATTTAAAATCTGAAAACCTTTCAAAATTTTTTAATACTTTTTTTGGCTAGTAATTTTTTTTTTTTAATTTAAAATTTTCGAAGAAAGGTTTAACAATTAAAATGTCATTCTTCTCCCTCAGTTTTCAATGTTTTTCCAAATTTTCTTATTGTATTTATTAGAGAGTTCTTATAACTTTAATGATCGATTTTGCAAATAATGAATTAGTTTCTAAGAAAAATTAAACATATTTTATGTAAAAACTTTGAAACAAATATCTCATTCACATTTCACTTCAAATAAATTTCTTTTCAGTATTTTGCAAAACCCATCTTTTTCTATAAAGCATATAATTTTAAATAAGCAATAAAAATATTAATAATTTATGCATATGATATAAGTTTTAGGACATTAAATAAAAGGATTTATCGAAAAAATGCAAACTGAGAAAAGCCTTTAAAAAATATAAACGGCCTAAATCGTCATTAAATCATTTCAATTTCTTAAAAATGTTATTGCTGAATTTCAATATATATATATAATAAAACCTAGTGCTATTCCATTTTTAATATAAACAGAAATTACAAGCTTTTATTTAAAATCTTCGTAAACATGTTCAAACAATTTTAATGCATGAATTATTATAACATATTTTCTAAAACGTTTATAATCATATTAAAGCGTTTGTAATTAATGTAAATAATATTAATGTGTCATTTTATTAATTTTTTCAAAAAGCAAAGTTTGAAATTTTAACAGCCAGAAAACATTTTATTTAAAATTGTTCAGCAATATATGTGATTTCTTTTCTTCATTTAACCATTTGGTCTCGTATATAAATTGCATTTTAAATTAATTTAGGTGTATTTTAGTTAATTAAAGAGTTAAACTCCGATGGCTTTCGATAGCAATAGTAAACAATGCCAAAAAAGATGTGAGCAAACGTTAGAAATCCGCCAATCCGATCCGCGTTTGTGACATCATTCATTGCTCGCAGTGGCTTACGGGTTGACGGATGTACACCTGAACCGGTTCTGAAAGGCGAAACTGCTTTATATCCCCGTTTCTCCCTAATATAAACGGTGGCTGCGCGAAAGAGCGTTGCATGTAAACGGGGCTTTAAGTTATCAATATAGAAAAATAAGTTCCTGCTGCCATCTATGAACAACGATAAAAACAGAGCTGGAGCTGGAAAGGGGAAAACCCCCCGAAAATTTCATTCTGTGCTGTAGTGCTGCCATCTGCAGGTGTCAATCGCTACTTTAAATGTGCAACTGTTACATTAGCTTTTTCTAAAAATGTTTTTATCAGAACTTCATAGTTCTGAAATTTGGAGATTAGGAGAAAAAAGGTAATTTACCACATGCATAAGCAACTACAGAAATCTTAAAAATGCAGCCTAGATAACCACGAATTATGAAAGTTACATATTTATGCATAACGATAGAATTTATATATAATTTTATATGTTACGTAAATGAGATGCTGGCAGAAAAATTTAACTCATTTTATTTCAAAAATTTATTTCTAATTCTACTACTTTATGTGCTTTGAATTTTCACCTCCTTCTTTTTTTAAAATCATTGTCGATCAGTTTGAGGAATGCATTCATGCATTTTATTGTAATAAAGTTACAGATATAAGAATTTCTTCTGATACATATTTTTTTTTTCTTGCTTTAACGCTCTGCTTTGGATCATTCTTAACTTTGTTTTTAATAAAATGTAAAGCTTACTTGATACTTAAAGTTTAACGCTCTACGAGATCATATACGCTATAATCGTTATAACGTTACGTTCCTATTTTGATCCATTATGTACAATAAACGAGCAGATTGTAATATCTAATGGCAAGTAAAATGTATGTCAGCTTGTAAAATTTAATATTGATTGAAATTCTGGTGCCTCTTTTTTCAACTAAGAATGAAAACGTAAGGTACGTATACATGCATTTATGGTCTAGAAAAGAAGTAAAAATTTATAGCGTGGAAAATATTTATTTCATAAGGCAGAAATACATTTATATGCAGTTAAGAAAAAAAATCAAAATATGTAATCTTGAGTTCCGGTGAAGATGTCACTGTTATATCATCGGTTTGCAACAAGAACTTTGATGCACTCCTAGAGAAAAAATAAATAAATAAATAAATAAAACTTCATAATATGAGATGAATAAAGTAAAAAGTCAAATAAAAGTTCTTAAATCTTTCAAAATGCAATGATACCTTCCTTACGGAAACAGAACAGAAAAATTTTAAATTATGAATTTAAAACTTCATATAATTTAAATTTGAATGTATACTTTTGTTCAAGGGCTTAATGAACTGCATAAGTTTATTACATTGAAATGGTAACCATAATAAATTGCATACTACCCATACAAATTATCAGTTTATTATATTCAAATGGAAACCATGATAGGCATTTTCGCTTATTCAATTGCATGTTAGAAACTTCCTATACCCCTTATTAAGAATAACTGTTTTTTAATTAGTAATGAGCCATTCAAAACATTGAATTCCACCACGAATCTTAAAAAAAGTTTCGCTATTGGCAAATTCGAATTTTCGTGCCTTTTTCTTCACTTGAATCTTTCAAATCCCAACCCATTAAATGTTTTAACTCAAATTTTTAGAAAGATTAATTTTATCGACAATTCATTAGGGGGAAAACTAATTCATTAAGGAAAAAAACTAACTTGTAGCATCCCGTATTTCCTTTTCTTTAAAAGAATTCTGGAAAAGTATAAACAATTTGAACTCTTATTCAAGAATGTTTTGTTAAATTACACTGAGAAAATCAGTTTCAAGTTCTTCTACTATATTTTACTTGTTTACTGCTTTAAAAACAATTAAATCTGCATGCCATTAAACTTCATTTAACATCTGTATTACATTTCATAAAACTTTGATTTGAAATTTACTTTAACTAAAATCTTTTATAATTAAATAAAAGTTTTCTTCTTTTTCTTCTTCGAAAGGTTTCAGAGATTAGATATTCAAAAGATTCAAGAATTCGTCTCAACTCACATGTCTAGTTGTTCAAGGGCCTTTATGTGTGCATTTTGTGGTATTAAATTTGATTGCCTAAACCTTTTTACAAAAGAGACCATATAAAGTTTTTCCTCGCAGTTTATTGGCCAAAGATAACTAATAGTCAAATTAAGTAAACTTAAAATCAAGTAAATAGCTCTTATTTTTAGTGAGTAAAATAACATTCCGTGTTGTATACGCGACTCTTCTGTACTTCTGTGAATTTTTCTTTTACAAATTTTAAAATTTGTTCGTACCTTTCAAATTTTTTTTATTTATAAACTTGCGAATCGGGTTGTGATCCACAGGTCGTAGATTGGAAAAACCTGTGTTGATCCATAACTTTCTGCCCCATTAGTTTCTTTGTGACATAGTGTCTAGAATTTCTAATGTGATCAAAATGATGCTTATCCTAAAATTCATGCTCCAGAAAACATTTGAAATATTAACCTGAATTGCACAATTACAGATATTCAGTTTTAATGCGTGAAGCAATTTAATTCTGTTTCATTGATTTAAAACAACGTCTTCGGCTATAATGTAAAGGTATAGGGGTTTACGGTAACACTGTGGATAATTTTACTCTCTCAGGATGAAGGTATTCAAGGAAATTTTCATAATTGATATAATAGATATAACATCCTTATATATTTTATCTCTCGTCTTTATTGTGAATGGTCCGTGAAGTATAACTGACATAAATAATAAAAATAATCGCAGTAGTGCTGTTATAACTAATAACAAAAACAACAAAATACTATATTTCTAGCTTTAACCAATGAATAGAATTACTTACCACAACTGGTTTAAGAGGAACGAATTCTGATTCCTATAAGAAATGGATAAAATTATTTTCGATGTCAGTTATGAAAACTAGTGAGGATTTATTTCCCGATTCATATATAGTCAATAACTTAAAAATGGATTCTTACGCAAGTGACATTTCAAGCATATTTTGAAAGATAAAACTGTTGTTACAATTACAATATCGAATTTAAATCCTATGTTTAGAAGAAAAATCGACATACTTAAAATATTCCATTAAATATAGATAAAAGAAACGGAGAAAATTAAAAATATTTACAGTGATAAAATGAAAAAGATTAAAAGATTTTCCTTCTCATTTTAAGAGACAAAATAATGAAAAAAATGGTTGTCTCAGAAAAAATTAATTGCATATTTCTCAAAACTGATAATGTAAAAACTTTTGATGCACATTAAAGTCTGTAAAAAGGTCTGAAAATATATAGGTGGGCCTTTTTCAGTGTTATTTAAATTCCTAACCCCTCTTAGAGATTAATAGCTCTACCGAATATTATTTGTATAGTTTATATAACGAATAATAAAAGCAGCATTAATAAATTCCAGTTCTTATCAATAAAGTAAAATAATTCATCGGATTTCAAACTTCTCTATTTTCAAGCGTATTACAAATTTAATAATAATTAGTATATGAGAAACGTCACAATGTACTATTCACACACTGCAGGTGGTCTATACATATCTCTTTGGTCATGTAATACACATCCTAGCAGTAAACGAATTGTAATCTAACCCTCCAAGTTTCTTTATTTACTCTGCGTGCTCCTTTCTTTAGGAGTGCTGAAAGATTGTGTTTTCTTACCTGCTCCCTCTGCCAACAATATTGGTAGAGCTCAAGAAATGGATAAATAGTGTTGTGATGATCAGTGATAGGATAATGCTGTAAAAGATGTTTATCGAGCAACGTGATTGAGTTTGGGACAACTGCACATACAGAACATTAGAGGAAAACCTGATGAGTTCGACAATTTTTTTTTTTATGTTCAATATTAAATACACGGCTATCACTTTTATTAATTCAATGTTTTGAAGTCCGATGAATCATTTGTAGAAACCCTGTATTAATTTTCTATTCCGATATAGAAGACTGCAATAGTCTAAATCCTTACGAATTTTATATAAAAGATTAAGCAGCTGAATTGCTTATTTTTTACTAATACTTTTTTCTCAGTTCTTCGATATAATTTCTCGACATCTTTGACTGCTCAACCTCGAAAACTGAAAATTAATGATTTAGAAAAAAAATCAAGCAATTAAATTTTTATCTTCTTTTCATTTCTTTCTTTATTAAAACTTTTAGCTTCGAAGGAGTGAAAAAATTATCCACTTCACATAGTCATTAGTAGTGAAAAACAGACTGAAATCAAAGACTGAAAAATCCTTCACTGCTCTTTTCATTATATTAAATTGACATTCTTAGTAATTTCAGCTTCAGAGGAGTGTAAAATAACCTACATTACACTTCACATAATTGTAATCATTAGAACTAGTCAAAAAAGGCTCTAGAGTAATTAGGTTATTTTGAAGCAAGAGATGTGAAAAATATGCAATTCACTCGCCGGGACTCGAAACTTAGACCTCTCGAATATGTTTCCAATTACACCACGAAGGATTTCTGGAAGGAGGGACAAAATGCCTTATATACTCCCCCTTTAGAAAGGCGACTCGGAATTAGGGGACCAAATTGCCAAATCCTGATGATGACGAATTTTCGTCTACCATATTTTAGTTCGGGCGCCATTTGTAGAGTTATTAGCTTATTTTGAAGCAGCAGATGTGAAAACGCGCAGTGCCCTCGCCCAGACTCGAACCCGGACCTTTCGAATACGCGCCGAGTGTGCTGATTACTAAGGCATGCTAAGAAGGTGGGAGAAAATACCTATGCGTTATAAATATAAACTACATTTTTCTGAGAAATACCTTAGTTACATTTATTAATTAAACCAAAGTTTTTTTTTTCTTATTCTAATGCAAGGGAGGAAATACTTTATAAGACCTTTGAAATACTAAGACTGAAACACCTTTCACCGCTTATTTCATTATACTAAATTAAGTTTCTTATAATTTTATTTCTCGAAATGTGAAAAACATTTGAGAAATTTTTACGGAACACTCAATTTCCAAAACAAAATTAATTCTTAAGATTAATTATTTTAAATAACATGATTTTAATTTGCTGCACAATCTTAGAATACATCTTAAGTTATTTTTTCTGCCATGTTTTCATTTTGGCAAGTGAAAATACGAGAGTTGGATTCATAAAAAGTACTAGCACATGTATTCATTGATTGAAACGATATCATTGAATGCGATGGTTTTACTGAGAATACTTTCACACAGATTTAAAGAGAACAAAATTTGAAAATTATTTCAAATCAGTAAACATATCAGAATTTGAAAACAACAGTTTCTTTGAATAAAAAATGTCTGACGAATGAAAACTGAGGAAAATAAAACTAGAGGTTAAAATTTCAAAAAGAAAGCATACCTTAGACATTTTAATTTACACCAACAATGTTTTAAACACGTCAATAAATATTTGATAATTATAATTATTTTTTGATAAATCACCTCGGAAGGATTATATTCATGTTTCAGAAAAATTTCATACTTACTCCTCTTTCTCGATATTTTTGCATGATGCATTCATCGGACTAAAAGGAAAAGGGATATTCTCGAATTACTTTTCAGACTAAATTTAAAATAACAAAATTATTAATAGATCAAAACTTTGTATTTACAGACCGCAAAGTTCATCGGTACTCTTTATATATTATAAACGTTTGCAATCAATGTTTAGTTTCCTGCCAGAAAATTTTATCTGACGTTAGGTTCTGCATTTTTATCTATGTACATTATAATTTCATGAGTACAGAAATCAATAACTGTAAAAGTAATACTTTTGGCCCGAAACTACGTGTATTATATGTAAAACTAGAATAATTTAGTTACATAAATAAAATATTAAAATATTAATCATATTTCAATTAAACAGAAATCAACAGGAATGTTAATCAAAGTAACACGATAACTAACGAGTGCTAATATATTCAGAATCATTTTGTTGTATATCAACATATTTAAAGCATAAGGAAAGCTTAGAATTTAACATATTCGTATTATATTAATGTTTTTAAGCAATAAGAATGTGATTGATTTTCCTTAATTCCCCTCTTTAAATGAAGTTAGAGCATTTCCATAATTACATCCCATTTCGTAATTAAACTTCACACAAATTTAAGCTCATGCTGATATAATTTCAAAAGCACATTCAGTAATCTTTTTCATCGCATGCAATTCCGCCAAAATAACCTTTCGCCGAAAATATTTTTGAAATTTTTCATTTGCAGAATTAGTAAAAGCTCTTACATATAATAATTGTTAGTGTCACATCTTTTGATTTATAATCAATTTAATGAGCATCACAAATGTTTTTGATTACTGCAGAAAAGTACTGTTTAGGAAGAACTCTCCTAGGAAATTACCCGCGCCGTCAAGGAGAACAGACTATCTGTATAAAGGGATCTGTCCATTCGGTTGGTGGTTAATGACATTTTAGATATCGTTTTCATCCGGTAGGAAATAAACTTTGTGCATTGTGTACACTAACATAGTTTATATTTAAAAGTTTAATTATTAACAATGTTACTGCAGTAAATTTCAATAAACTGAATTTAATTAATTAGCATTTAAAGAATTTTAATCCTGTGTATTTATTCTTTATAAATTTTAGCGCAAATTAAAGAATTGGAATGATTTCGCAATTTTCTTCAAGTTTAATTCATTTTACTTTTCGTGTTTAGTGCAAAATCATATCACAAAGTGTTTAATAATATAACATATTATAAAATAATATATTACTATTTGAAAATTATTTAAATTTAATTCTAAGACAATTCATTATTAATATCATTAGATCAAAGTTATATAAGAGAGGATGACTTTGGTGTTCATATTTGCTAAAACTGATTGATATTTAAAAAAATTTTAACTGCATGTACTTCGTGTAGTGAATTTTTATGCATGCAGAAGATGAATATTTATGTTCTCTATAAAACAACATCAAGTGAAACTTACTCTTTCAACAACTTCTCGGTTGTTGCAATATATATCCAGAAGTCTCGAATAATCGTTACCCATATCAGCCAATTCTGTGGTGCATGTTTTAACTATCTCCACGTGCTAAAAATTGAAGCAAATTATAAATTAAAGGTAAGCTTACATATGAAAAGAGTTTTTTCTTATTTTTACTATTATCTTTTAAAGGCAAAAATGTATTAAGCTGATTTATTAGCTTCATTCGGTGCCATCTTTATTAAATTAAAGCTCCTATTTCTCATTAAAAATCAGCTTCCACACCAAACTAAAAATATAACAATAAATTTCATTCATAAGAAGATGTTTCAAACTTGCTACAGGATCTTGTTCTAATGTTATCCAATACGCTTTAATTTTTGTAACTTATTTTTTCTCTTAATTTAATTGGATCTATTTAACATTAAATCTAATTATTATAACATTAATCTAATTAAATTAATTAACTAAATTAAATCTAATCGGATCTATTTAACATTTAAAAAAATGAACGCAGTGAATGCGTTATTTGCTAAAATACACTTATTGTGACAGTTAAAACAGAGAAATTTTATTGATTATGATTCGGTAATAGCAAAATCAGACAATATTTGATTAAATGGAGAATTTTTATGCTTCTTTTAACATACTGCACAGATGCAAGATTATCGCTTGTTAAGTACAGATAATTAGAAGGTGCATATATTAGTCACTAGAATCCAAATAATCCAAATAATTCATAAAATGCAATATTACAATCTTTCTTTTTGGAAAGATTATAATATTGCATTTTATGAAGATGCTACTTAGATGCTAATTCTTCAAATATAGAATTTGACGTGCCTATTTCCTGCAATTTGTCTTTCCTATGAAAGTCAGTTTAAAGTATTTTTTATGCCAATCATATTTAACTATCGAAATCATCTAATATTACAAATGAAGGGTTTAGGAAAATAATCTTATTTTTTAGTAGCAATATGCAAGGCACATTCATCTCTGTCAGTTTCATTCCCTTCCTTTTCATTTTGATAAAAGTTGGTGATCAAGTATCAGTAAATAATGCTTATAATATTATACATATAAGTGCTTGCAGGAAATGGCGATAATGGAAGCTGGATGTTATATGGAGCAATCGCGGCCAGCTGAATATTTCTTTATTCTTGGCATAACATTCATTTAATATGCACATGCCAAATATATAGGCCATATGTGAAGTAGTCCGTAATTATTAACTTATTTTTCACATATTTAGAGAACTGTAAATGGTAATAGGAAAACAAAACAGCGGACGACATTCAGGAGTCCAAAGAAGCCTAAGAATAGTGCGACAATTAAGATACTGCTATTTAATTATGAATAGCAAATTTCTCGTTCCACTTTGCTTCTGTTTGTTTTTTAAGAATTTTTTCTCGGCAATTTTTTTTTTTTTTATTTTTAATGGATAAAAAAACTTCACTTTCACTTTTGCCTTCAAGCCATTACCATTATTAAACACATACAACAAAGATTAATTCTGAAATTACACACACGAGAAGAGTTTATTACAAGCATATAATTAATTTTTGAAAAGAGAGGGGAATTAACAAAATAAAAAAGGGAGACTTAAAGGGTTTTATAAATTAAGATATTCCTCTTCCATATATCTTATCTTGCGTGTATGTACTTCAAATAGGTGATGCTATAGAAATTTCTAACATTATGATAATTACTAAAAGACATTTCTAAATTTAATTTCTAAACTAACTAAATAAATTTTGAATTTAAAATACAAATTTCATTTATTTAGTGATCATTTGAACGTCACTAAGTATATAACTTTCAATTTACTTTTGTTTAAAATAAAAATTATAAAACTGTGTATCTAAAATACCATTGCATTCTTTTAGGAACTCGATACGTTTAAAAAATTATTATAATAATAATAACAATACTACTTAATAGATATAATAACAAATATGTGAGATTCGGGGGAAGGGGAACTTACACTATCCGGCATTAAGCTCAAGCATTCGATGACAGACGTTCTCGTTGTTTCTTCTTCAGCTGAAAATAAAAGTAACGAAATATTAAAAATAGTGTATTAAAATAAATTACTTTCTTAAATGTGAGATAATTTCTTCTGTGAATATTTTTAATTGTTGCAGGTTGATGAAACACTTTTGTTTCAATTTCTAGTTTCCTTGATTTACAACTCCACCTCCTTCCATAAGCATTAAAATTCAATTAGTTATCTGGGAGTCGCAGCAGTAAATAAACACGAGGCTGTGTTAGTTAACTTAGTTCTATTTTAATTTGTACCTCCTGCTAAATTCATTCGCTTAGCAAATAACCCTCGGTAAGAACGTTTTTAAAGTTGGCTGTTTCTTTTTGCTGAAATATAAAAGCTTTAAAAGTTTAACATTGTATATCCCTTACTGAAAATTTAATTTAGTATTCTAGACTTCACAAGTTGCGGAAGAACTTCAAGCTGCAATACAGCTTTTGCTCTTATCTATAAGAGTTGCAGATCCTGATAATACATTACTATCATTTTCAATACTAAATTTTCTGTCCATTTTAAGTTAATCTAATTCTGTTCGAGCAATAGTTCGCCTATAGCAGTAAACTCTAACAATGTAGTTTAGTAGGCTATTAAAATGTAACCGAAATTCATGAAGTGCTCTACAATATCACCTTCTAAAATGCTATATGAGTAAATACTTCTAAAAATTCTTCATTCATTCTGAAATAATTCTGAATTCCTACAGACTCACTCCAGAATATATATAAGCATATTTAAATTGTTGATGAAAAATATCAATTCAAGTGCGTATGAGAAAGAAATGTTCCTATGCTATGAACACTAGTTTGTTACGATTCATAACCCTGCTAATATATTACAATAAATTGTATGACAACGTATGTTTTTATTAAAAACTGCCATATTTTAAACCGATAACCAAGATTAGGTTGAGATTTTCAAATGAAAGGAAAAAGTTTTCTGAAACTGACTTTTTTACCATAATGAAACATATCATAATATCAATTAAAGTACCAAAATTTCTTATTATTAAGAACGTTAGAGATAGTCATTGGGCTTTATGCCTTGTTCTCTCAAGTAAAACAATGCTTTTGAATAAAAATATAAAGATTGAATCATTGTGCACATATGTGAGACAAATAAAATTAAACTTCTTTTTTATATTAATTTAAGAAAGTTTGGAGTTTGAATCCTGATTTATTTATACGCAGATCAGCAGTATGACTCCTGAAAAATTACAACTCCGTGAATTACAATGCATCATGCTTTCAAAGGGAAGAACCTGAGGATTTAGTAGTAATTTTCTAAAGAATAATTGTATGGTTGCTTTGAACGTCTGTAATGTCTCAAAACATGCTACTGTTTTGGAAAACGGAATCTTCCATCCTAGAACTAATTGATCAAGAGCTACAGGAATGAACATTCTGAGTGAAATTGAGTTTCACAAAAAATTAGTAAATTATGGCTTCAGTTTGTAGCAATGGTAATTAATGAACTATAACAGAAGTCTAACTAGAGTTATTCGGAAGTAAGAATTAACACTTACAACAAATAACTTCTTCTAACTGTTCTTGATCCTCGATTTCTTCTTGGCCCAATGTCGACGCTACAGCGAAGCAAAAAACGACCATAATGGTAGAGAAGTACATTATGGCAGTATGAACCGTGATTACAACTGACAAATGTAAAATCTGCCTTAGCTGAATCAAAATATATACTATTGGAAATAATGACTATAACTTCGACCTTCAGTTAGGTTTCATCCTACATTTATTATATGGCTATTCGTAGGGAAACGTGCTGTCAATTCTTTTGATGAGTTTCTGTTGAAAAGTGTTAAGTGCTTCCGCTCTTTGTGAAGCAATTGTAACATTCTGATAGCAACACCTATTCAAATATATATAATAGGATTTCCTCCTAAATTTGAAAGTAGACCATTTATTATTCGATTTGGAGCTATTTTATGAATTTCAGTTTCAATTTAAATGTTTAGATACCCTAAAATGAGTACAAATGGTTCACAAGTTTTTCATTACAATTCCGGTTCTGCTAAATTTAATACTTTAATATTCTATATTAATTATTGTAATTACATTAAAATTTTCAAAACTAGAGTGACACAAAGTTAATGTAATGATAAATAATTGCTGGCAACCAATTTTATAGAACTAATGGGAAACTAGTTGTTGAGCTTTAATTTGTTATCCTATTAAATACTGAGATAATGTTGCGAAGACAATACATAAGGCAGGTCATGAGACAACAAATAATATATTTCGACTTTATAAAATGGTAAAGTTATTTTAAAATGAATAGCCTTTGTAATAAATATACGAATAAAATTTTATTGGTATTGTTGTTGACAGAAACTAATTTAAGTAAAAACATATTTAAATTTTCATGCAGCCGTTAAATACATATTCCTTAATGAATTCTTAATCATTAGGGATAACCTTCGTGCTTTGCTATAATAGATTAGACAAATAACGGGTAATCAAATTTATCTTTAAAGTATTAAACTTAAATAGATAAAACCTTTATTAAGAAAACTTTTTTTTTCTACTTTTAAAGACGGTATGTTTAGTCATTATTTATTTTATGTGAAATATTTTTTAAAAAAATTAAGTAATTTCAGAACACAGAATGTTTTCTAGATCTTTAAGTTAAGAAAATCATCAACTGTCTTTAGAAACTAGAAAGATAATTTTAACTTAAAACTTTCTTCAGATTTGAAACAAACACGAAATCCTTAAAGTATGCATGAACTAGTTAGAAGTAACTACTTCATGACTTACTTATCGATACAAGTGAAATATTTCTCAGATTTCGTAAAACAACCTTTTGTCTCAACTCAAATAAAGGCAAAAGCTTTGGGATTAACAATACCAGATCATATTGCCGTAAGTTTTAGAATGACACGAAGTTTAACTCTCTCTCTCCTCTTTTTTTCGTGTTAAAATCACTAATATTTGAAGCACTTTTCTTCAGAATCTGGCAAACATGTATATGTTATTTCTTTTCTGTATTTGGAACTAGTTGCATTCCACGTTACATGACATTTGATTTAGCTACATCCTAATCAATCTGCTTTTATTCCTTTAATTTGAATTAAATACTGCAAAGCATTTCAAAGTTCTTTCTATATAAATATTTAAATATCCGCAGAAGTAGAATTGGTATTAGAATCTTAAGATTACTTTCTGAATTTTTCGAGTGTTTACATTAGATATTGTTTTTCCGTTACACTCATATAGAAAAAAAGTATCACTTTTGAGAAAACTTATTTCTAGGTTTTTTGTCAATACATTCCTGCTCAATAAGAGGATCATCAACAATTTTTCTGAAACTTAACTTGCAGTTTTTTCAGGATTATCTTATATATTTCAAGTGATTTCTGTAACATTTTTTATTGGTTTTTTACGACTTTTCAATCTTTTTTTCTCTTACATATATATATATAAATTTGTCAAAGCTTGTGTTATATAAGCATTAGCACTATAAATATTGTGCTAAAGTAAGTGCTGTAAAAATAAATATTGGTATTTTTATACTGAAAAAATTATAGCTAATAAGTAATTATTAATGCTAAAAGTTATATGATAAAATAATTTATATGCAAACGAATATGTGCATTTTCATACAGAAAAAAATTAAATTAATAAGAATTATCTAAGTGATTATCAAATTTTAGTTAATTAGTTAATGATAAGTAGAAAATTAAAATAAAGTAAAAATATGCTAAAAGTTATATGATAAAATAATTTATATGCAAACGAATATGTACATTTTCATACAGAAAAAAATTAAATTAATAAGCATTATCTAAGTGATTATCAAATTTTAGTTAATTAGTTAATGATAAGTAGAAAATTAAAATAAAGTTTAAAAATAAGTTTAAAACGACAGTTAGCTTTTGTTTTGCTACTAGATATATATTTAATTTCAATTTTCTTTCAAAACATTGAAAGTATAATTAACAATGCTATTGTCACTATCAAAAAATTAGATTTCTGCTCTAGATTTGCTATTGTGTTAGTTACACGTCAGCTGCTCAAAGCGCAGAACGTGTTTAATCGTGTTTACGTATTTCTAACAAATGCTTTCCGATTAGCTAGGGAAAAAAACATACAGTTTTAAAGTTCGAAAGGTGTAACTTTTATAGAATAAAAAATCAAAACCAGCTCATTTATGATTTTATTCTCTAGCTTATCTCAACACCGTAAACTATATGTAAAGTATTAGAAGAATGGGTGATTTCAAAGTAAACCTCCAGAGAACAAAAACCTTATGCAGTTAATACTTTCTTTTATTGAGAAGCTAACCTGGACCTAACTATCGTTATTCACTGGTTTAAGACCATTTATTTGGCAGACTGGTGAATCTTAAAAAGGAATAAATTTAATTTGTAGAGAGCCTAATGCTTCTACCAACGCTGTTCTTAGATGTTTCTTCCTTGAAATCACACAGTTAATAGCTGATCAAAAATTCATGACTGCCTGAAGTAACTTTTCGGACTTCCTTCCGGAGAAAGGCTCAATTTTGAGCTGAAAAAAGGCTTCGCATGATGAACAGTATCTCGAATTATGAGCTTTTAAATCGGCAGTGAATGATAAGCGTATGGGAAAAATTGTTTCAATTTACGAATACCTCAGCATATGGGAAGCGGCCTTCAGGAACGAATCAAGTTCGTGAATCGAGGTTTTGCTGTATTTTAAAAAAATTTGACGTTTTAATATTTTAAATAAGGTTGCTGATATATATAGAGTTATGCAACTCAACTTTAAACCTCACTCACTTATTTATGGCATTATGAGGATGGTTATTGTTAAGGAGGTATTTTTAAAAACGTTTTTTATTTTTTCCTTGAGATTGCTTAATTTGAAATTATTTTACAATTTTTGCAGTTATTTTACAATTTTGTATATTTATTTTTAATATAATTTTATACGTATTTTACAGTTTGCTGCAAAACAAAATTACCGTCGTTGCAAAATGACCAACATAATGCCTTTATTCTTGGAAAAACTCCAGTGCGCCATGTTTCAATATTGTGGATGCATGAAATAGGAAGTGAAGCAATAAAATGAATAGCTGTTTATTCAGTCAATTTCTTTGAAAGATGAACTGAATTCACGACAGAAGAGGTGCTGCCATTATTTTATTTTTCTTACACCAGTTTAAATTAAATAGTCAACCCTATGTATTGAATACTCAATAAAATTGTGTTGCGGGTTGAAGATCTATCCGTGACTTTCAAACTTATCACCGTTGTCATTCTCCCTATTCAGTCACCTGGGGTTTTTACAAAACCTTTGTGCATTATTTCTTTATATATGAGGGTTTGGGCAAACTTCTGATACAGAAAGATAGCTGCAGAAGATATGACATCAAATTTCTAAAGATTCTTCATTTTCCAGGAAGCAGTGAACTTTATCTCAGGTTAATGTATATATGGCTAGATGTTAATTAAACTTGCCTAAACAAAGTCCAGTATAAAAGTAAATAGATTTTTCGATAGAATTTTCTCAGAAGCATGGAATGCAAGTTAACGCGAATTAAAATGAAAGCTTGAAATTGTTAGTTTGCTCTCTACTTTCACGTTTACTGTCTCTCTGTTTTCATGTTTACGAACAAAAGTGATGAAATAATTATTTGGATTGAAAATCTAAACTTCTATATCAATGCCAGTACCTTTTGTTTGACAGATTCCCGATATCTGATTTTCGAACTCGTGTGCATTTTCTAATAAGCTAGTTGTGCTTCCTTCTTTTTAGAATAAGGGCTTCAGTATTATCTAAGTATTCGAATTGCCTCACTTCTACTGCCTGGAAGACTACTGTGGGTAAAGAAATCTTTCTTGTTGCCGTTTTAGTTTTCTTATTTAGCTTATCATGGAAAAGCGGTTTTTTGTGATGTGTTAAATAACTTTTCACTTTAGCCGTTTTGTTACCTTGATAGGTTATTTCATTTCCAAAATTCTAGATTTTTTTTATGTTTTAAACTAATTGAATGGGAGTAGCTTTCAAGATGGGGGGGGGGGAGTTATCGCCATCTCATACGCTTAAGAGAATTAGGGTAATAATAAATGTAACTGCTAACTAAATATTTATTAAATGCTGCCTGCCACTTGTAACCATAATACAAATTAAAAAAATATAAAAAAGTTAGTTGTTGCTTCTAACATCAGAACATAGGTTTAACACTTTTACAACATTATATGTTGCAATAATAAGAATTTAAAAGAATATTCAAATAAAGAAGTAGAATTATCACTGCAGAGGCAGAGTGGATAAGACATTTTACAGTGAACATTAGTTGGATTTCAGATCCGTTCGTATTCGGAGTCCAATGAACAGACTGTCTGTGTAGGCATGTTTGTCAATTTCTCCCCGTGCAGCATGAATATGAGCCATTTTCTCTTAGAAAGCTCTGCATGAAGGAATCCTTATAGATAGCCGTCTTGTGGTTTGTCTTAATCAATTAAAAAATCAAGCAGACGAAGAAAATTTTATATAACTTCATAAGTGATTTTTAAATTTGTCTACCTCTCTACCTTTTCAAACTACTTAGAAGAAAAACATTTGTTTTATATGCGTAAACTACTAAGTGATTAGAATATTTTGAATAATTAAATTCACTGATCAAAAAATTACTTTTACGTGTTTGATTGTTTGAAGCCTTATCTAAACAAGATCTATAAAATA